TGATTATTAAATACATTATGTGTGTAGCCATGTACATGTATATGCATGTGTTCAAATTAAATCTTACCACTCATGTCGACACGCCTTGGCTCTCAGCAGTACGGCTTCTTTAATTCTTTTCACAATTTTTGACAAACCATAATTAACCATAGTCATTTTTTATTCACATTTTATATCATTCATATTTTACTGTATATAAACATAGAGACGAAAGCTTAAAATATCAACATTTTAAGGCTCGTATAATATGTATTAGGTCTCTTGTATTTCTCAATCTCCAAGATGCAAGATCGATTGAATTAAATGATACCTCATGGTGTAACCATAGATAAAAAAGGTCATGAAATTGTCGGCACTGTTGTAAAATTATAAAAAGAAAGCAATGCTGGCTTTTTTGCATTATTTTCAGACTCAATAGTTTCGATTACAAATCTGAAGGTGTTCAAATCCATTAATAGAAATACGTACTGCCTCCAACGCGTTTTTCTCATTTACAACAGCATACTATATTAACATACATAGCACACTATAATAATATTTTGATTCGAAATATATTTACGATTTTATTGCTATATATCCAAGGCAACAGCAAAGTTAACGTATTTTAACGATCTTATTTCTAAATCAAAATGGAATAATTTAGCTCATGAATTTCTCCGTCACTGAAATGCTCCTTTTGTGTTTATTTATGTCATCATTCCATTATGACTGCAGCTGAGAACTCCTCATTTGCCCAATTATACCATCCACGTATTGTTGGCCAGTGACGCAACGGAGCGTTACTCAGGCGTAGTTGCGACGATCAGTTTTTGTCTTGGTGCAACGGGCGTAAGCAGGGAGAGTAAACCTGGCGCACGGACGCCAGGCGTTGCGGTTTACGACAGTCGTAGCCGAGTAAATTTACGCCCTGTTGGTGCAACCGGCCCCTGGCTACACATGGAGTGACACCTCAGTTTTGGATTTAAAGTAGTTAGAGAGAAAATGAATATTTTGTAGAAAATAAACTCGCCAAAAAATAATATTCCATATTTAGTAGTAACCCTGTAATCTGCACTGCTGCTAAATAAAGTGGCTCTAAATGTGTTACTATTTTTTGTCAGAAATAATATGTTTAACGGCTGGTTTTAGGTAGTTGGAAACGTGCCATTCTGCATGTCCACCTACAGACGATATATTAAATCAAGCGATAGTTGAGTATCAGATTACAAAGCCAATTGTGTCACCCTTTGGTTGTGAAAGACCAGATTATGTGTGAGATAATACACTGTCACCCGAGCGATATATGCCATAACACCTCGAGCGTCCGAGAAAAATTACAGTCATTTCATCCTAAAACACCCCTAAAACCGAATAAGTGACCCTATATCACGCTCTAGAGATGTTATACGGAATAAACTCGTCCACGTGCGCTGGTCACCTCCCGCCAAATTCTTACGTAATGTCTGACCAATTTGGTCAATTTTTGCTAAATACTTGTCGTGGTCGTTCATTTGCTTGAAAAGTATTTAATCAACCGTCTCAGCTGAGCCACACCTAGCTGGGACTGTTGCGAAAAAAAGGTCCCAAGGCAAAAACCTCTACTTTTTAGTGACATTTCTGATAAAAAAAAAAGGAGCGTTGGACCGGAATATAGTCAAACTAATTTTTCACAAGTGCAAAGAAATTTACTTTTTGGTGATATTTCTGACAACGAGGCAGTTTTGGAATATAGTCAAAATCGACGGATGTTTATTACAAGTTCACGGGAGTAATAATTCTAGTTTTTTAATGTTATTTCTGACGACGAGGCAGTTCCGGAATATAGTCAAAATCGACGGATGTTTATTACAAGTTCACGGGAGTAATAATTCTAGTTTTATTGTTATCACTGACGACGAGGCGGTTACGGAATATAGTCAAAATCAAACAGATGTTTATTTCAAGTTCACAGGAGTAATAATTCTACGTTTTGGTGACATTTTTTACTACGAGGTGGTTTCGGAATATACAAGTGCTGGTTTTCAGAGCATTCATGTAATTACAAGTTCAAAGGGGGAATACATTTGATTTTTACCGATATATCTGATAAAGAGGAAGAATGAACAGCTTAAAAACAAAAGGTAAATAACACAACCCTCGTTAAAAAGTTATAGATTTACAAATAATTTGTATACACGTGTGGCTTAAATGTAAACTAATTCCCGTTTTCAAACCATACCCATATGACATGACTTAGTGTAATAAAATGATAAATAATAATTGTTAAACGTGAAAAGTTTATGCAAATTTTTTTAAGAGTGTAAGAGATTTTTAATTTGTCTACTGGTAGGTATATAACGTAAGCAACGTCACTATTCTTTTGATGCCAAGAAGGTCACATGATCACTGTCTTTGGCTTTCAGCATTTAAGAGACCTCGACTGATTTAACCTAAGATCTAATAAACGGTCCGTTTATTAGATCTTAGATTTAACCAAGATGTAGTCGTGAAATTCTAGACTACATCGAGGTTAAATCCGAGTTTTCCGAGAGACGCTACGCAGAAATGTCGAGTGAAGCGAGACATTTTTGGGTAGCGGCTCGAGGTTGCCCTCGATCTTCACTGAAGCTTGGCTAAATGGACAGGCTTCAGTGATCATCATATCGCCACGGTCATATAACATCCCTAGGTATGTATTTTTAAATGGCGTGGATGCCTGACGAAGGTTGCAAAATATTTCAAGATCTACCCCTATCTTGAAAACACGGCTTTTATTTTATAAAAAGAGTATCCGCTAACGCATCCAATTATATACCCAAGCAGAAGCATTGGTGGATGTAGGATTTTACTTAAAGAGACAGGGGGGCACAAGGACAAAAAGGACAATTTTACCACATTACGTTGGGTACAGGGGTGGAAAATTGCTTGGATTTGTCTTTTTTTGCTTCTTGTACATTGGGGGGGGGGGGAGAAGCTGAGAATATTATTCCTTTCGAAAGTAAACATTTTCAAGCAAACTGAGCTTAGATATAACTAGGAAAGAGTTCTCGTTCATATCAAAAGCGCATTTGATGGATGCATGCCAATGGTAACGTTCGTGCCTCCCTAACATGAAACATTTTAAAGACAAACATGAACAAGTGATAATAACATAGTCCCCTCAACAAATTTAACAATGAACCTTCGATCATTTATATATTCAGGGCTCTAATAGGCCTATCTCAATCAAAATGTTATCCCACACACATTTCTTTGTTTAAAACCATATTAAAGGTACCGAGTATTTAAACACTTTTTGAAGGGGGGGGGGGGGGGGGGCCCACAAAAAATTTTTTAATTGCTGTAGGGACCCAATGATGAATATTTCTGAATATTATTTTTTTGAATATTTTGAAAAAA